GAAGAGTTTGGTAGGTGGTTAATGGCAATTTTCCTTTTCGGTCATTAAATGCTTTCACTTCAATTATTTTCCTTTATTTATCAAGGCACAAATGACTCAAATTCATATGGGAAATCAATTCAATGATATTATTTCCTTTGGAGTTTGGACACCTAAATTATGTGATTGTCAACTCTTGAAATTTATCTTCATGTTTGTATTTCCTAACCCTACTACCTTCAATTATCTTATCCTGATCTCGTTCTACATGCCATAACATATTTTTGATCGGAGTTAGACTCCATCTAATAATTTTAAATATGAAAAGATGATATGATATAAAAAAATATAAAAATAATATGATTTAAAATTTTTAAATTTATACGTAAATTTGGAAAAATAAAAAATTATTTGTATATTTGACACGAATTATAATATAATAATTTTGTATTTTATATATATTTGACACAAAATAAATACTATATAAAATACGAATTGTCAAATTTAAATTAAACAACATGACAGATGTTAAAGTAATGTCATGTCATGTTTTAAATTATAATAACCCAAAAACTAATAATATCAACAAAACTATTTCAATTGATGGATATATTTTTTGTGTTAGTGACCTAACTTCGAATTTATGAACTTGTACAAAATAACTTGAAATTTTCTTCATATAAAAATAAGGATTTTGGTTTAGAAAAGAAGATAAAAAATATATATGTTTAGTCATTATTTGTGACCCATAATGCTGGTGGGTTAGCAGGCTTGGGAGGGGGAAATTGTAGTGCGCATGCATGGACGATGTCTGAAGTAAATGGGGTCGAAGGTGGACGAAGGCCATGGTGAGCCACATTGGATTTTAATTGATGATATATGGCTTTTGAGTTCTAGTGATGATGTTAGGGAAGATGGGTTCAATGTCACGTTTGGTTTGTTGTTTTTTCTTTCCAACCAACCACTCTCATTTTTTTGGTTTTTCATCTCCACAAAAAGGGTGGGGGGTCCTAATGCAGCTGATGTTCTGGTTAATGGGTCTTTTCTTTGTCCTTTGCACAAACAAATAATGCTCAAGAATTATGGCCCCTAGTTTACAGTAGAAGGGATTAGTAATTAATGTTTCTATATCTAGCATTTTCAAAATGGGGTTTCTTTGGTCTCAATTGACAGGAAACAAGAGATTTTTCTTTACCAATGGGACTATAGGTTGATTTATGTTTTTAACATCATTTCTTTCATATATATATATATATATATAGTGGCAGAAGGATACACATCAGCCTGAAGCATCCTTTACTCAGAGGGTTAGACATTTTCTATGTGTTTTCCAGACTTTATTTCAAAAAATAATGAGGATTAAAAGTCTTAAGTTTCAGCTGGGAGTGATGCGTTGTTGGATGAACAAGCCAGCAGATGTGAGTTTAAACGATTAATTGTCAACACAAAAGGCTAGCTTGAATTGAATTATGATTCGAACGCTTGCAGGCTGTAGGAGCACAAATATATATACCCTATATGACAACTTGGTGCTAAACTGTCATGCCTCTAGGAAAATAAGTGATCATTAATCTTTGAATCTGTCGGTCAAAGTTTTTGAATAATTACTGACAAGATATACTGCTCAGGAATTCATCTCCCAGGAATTTCTTGTCTTGTATTGTCAAATGTCAGCCATTTAAGTTCTTAACAGATGTAGTACTGTAAGAAGGAATCTTTCTTAAACTTGATTTCACTGATTATCCATGAAGAAAAAAGGGAGGGTTTTTTTCAAATTTGATTGCAGGGTCACTTGTTCATCAATTTTCTGCCGTTTTGCAATAAATTTTTTGGTTGATTTGTGACCTTAACTCAATGACCACCCCAATGTGGTCATTTCAAACTTAATGGAGGCAACATATTCAAGTACAAGTGCTAGAGCCCCAGCCTGTTTATGACTTTATTATCAGTTGCATGGTACAAACAGGGTGATGTTGTTAGGTCTAAGCCTGCCTTCCCTCCTTTAAGCAGCAACTTGCAGGAAATGTAACAGAAGAAAATAAGTAATTATGGGACTCAGCAATCTGAAATTTTGTTATTGATATTAGCGCTGGTTTTTCAAGGTCCCCTCATTGTTCCAAACCAACCCAATAAAAAGGAGCAGATTACCATTCAGCCTTGATCCCTGAACTTCAAAACCTATTTTTGTAGGTCAGCTTGGCAATTTTAGGGTTAGCAGAAGGATAAAAGGATAAGCCCAGCCTTAGCCTGAAGCCCTTAATAGTGTACATTATTGAAGAGTTTTAGGCCACTGAGCTGTCTATATCTATTGTGTTTATAACAGAAACTAACCTGATTTAAACTCATCAGGTTTTGGAAATTACCAAACTAGGTTTTCCAAGTACAGTGAATTTTTTTTTTGCTGCTTCTGCGTATTAAGAACTATTTTCACTTCTTACCTAACAGGCTTGTAACTTCCAAGTTATGGTTAGACATATATGCTGCTGGAAAAAAATGAATGAAGGGTCAGAACTACTCAGAAATAGCCCTAATTAATCTGTTCAGCAATAGTAGTTTCCACGTTCAAATTTTTTGCTGCATTTTTCTGAGCATAAGAAGAAAGCAGCAAGGTACCTAATGCTACCATACATCATTTTCACATTTCCTTCCCCTCTTCAATTCCTCCTGTTTTTTTGTTTGATTGAAATATTAAATTTCAAGATATAAAGCCATGAAATTTTGGGTAAAACTCAATTGCTTTTAAACTTATACTTCACTCAATTCTTTCCCAAATCTGGTTAAACTTTGAAGTTCATCAAAGTGGAAAGTCTCCTTACTATTTCTCCTACCATATTCCTGTGATTTGCCTTGTTGGGAAACAAGTTTCTGTCAGCTGCAAACTTCAGGTGCTATAAACAGTGAGTGGGAGAGTATGATTTTCTTTTTGTTTTCAAAGTGGCAAAATACCCAACACAAGTTTTTTGGTTTTACTTTTGGTGAAGTTTCTAAACTTCACTGAAGTTTATTTTCTACTCAATTAATGAATTTTTTTTATCTTTGTTAACACATAATAATATTGCACATATTAATTGTATTTATTTCAAGTTTTGCTTGGATTAAATTGTTTCTTGGAGGATTTTAATGGCATAGTACTCCTCACATCGACATCAATTTTGATATATTCAAGATTTTACTCTTCAAATGATTCTCACAAAAATCAAACCGCAATTAACAAGAAAATGAAACCTCTTTGCTTATCAACTTAGCTAATCCTTTTGGGTATGGTAATTATGATTGTGATTGTTATGATATGTTTGATGCAGAAAATTATGATAAAATAGGATAATATGATATTATAAATAATATAATATAATATAATATAATTTTATCTTGCATTTGATTTGTATAAAAATTAAAATAAAATAATTTTAATATTATAAATTAAAAATAATTTTTTTTTATTTTAAGAGGATTGAATCATCTTATGTCAAAAGAATAATTTATGATTAATTCATTTTATAGTTCAATATTTTTTATATATAAAAAGCAAATATGATATATACTGATTGTCATCTTATGTACCAAACATTGACCTTAATAGATTAAATGATTGTTAAAAAATGAAGTTAACAAATATATTTGGAATAATTTTAACCATTTCACTAATACAAAATGTTAAAGCTTTACTTGCATTAAGAGAACAGCATGCAACCACTGGCGGCAGGAGAGAGTTAGAAAAAGAGAACAATATCCTCAATCCCAACACAAAGTGAAAACAAATTTGAGGTTAACCAAAAAAAAGGTACACTCAAACTCTAGTTGACTAGAAAACTTCGAAACACCCATCAACCATGGCTAACTTGTTTTGTTATTGGTTAAAGATTGCCGTGCTTTTAGACTTCAATTTACTCCACCAAACATCATTTATTATTCACAAGGAAAAGGAAAACTGAAGCAAACAATATTATCTGTTTATTTATTCATATAGGAGAATTAGTGAACCAATATTTTAATGAGAACTATTAAACAATATGACTCAAAATAATAAATAAAAATGAAATATTGATAGTTTCCTTGAAGATCTTTGTTATTTTGCTGGCTACATAAGATACATACAGAGTTCCTTCAGATCCTAAGAAAAAAATAAAATGTACACATCTGTTTTTTAATTTTTACAGTTATTTGTAAAAAAAGAAAAAAAAAACTAATAATAGTATTATAATGCACATAATTATAGGGTCGGGGAGTAATGGACAAATTGATAATTTTTGTTTTTGGGTTTTCATTGTTTTTAATAATTTTAGGCGTTAAAAGTGTGTTCTGTTCTTTCAGTGTATTTCTTTTTGGACTATTGCATGATCCAAAAGGCTGCTCTCATCATTTTTTTTTCTCTCTCTTTCTGCTTTGTGTGCTAATGACTTCTTTATCTGCTTTTGTATCGGCCACTTGAATCTTTGAAATGAAAACTCCCAGAGAAGATTCATCACCTTTTTTTTTGTTCCTATTTATCCGCTTTGGGGCTTTAGGGGAGGAGAATTTGGAGGAGGTTTTGATTACAGAGACTTTGTGTGTAGTTAGTTGGTGAGAGTTTGGATTCTTTTATGGGTTCAAAGAGAGTGGAAGAATAGCAGAAAACTTTTTTTGTGTGTGTTTTAGTTTCTGGGTTTTTCTTGTTTTGTGGATCTTAATTTTGGAAGTGGAAAGTTTTGTTGGTGAATTGAACAGTGGTTTTTTCCCATGTGGAGATAAATTGAATTAATCTCTTATTTTTTTAACAAAAAACAAACAAAAAAAAAATTTTTTTTTTTTTTGGGTTCAGTTATAGTGTTTCCTAGTGGCAGATTTTGGTGTTCAAAGCTGTTAAAAGAGTGGCAACAAAGCTGTTTGAATTGGACAACAATAGAGTTTTGGATGGGCTGGGGGAGATGGCTCTGAATGTTATTTAGTGACGAAGCCTTAAGCTGTATTGAGAGAAAAAAAAATGGAGCTTTTCGGATTCTGAGGTTGGCTTCTTTTATTGATAACACAATGTTGAGATTCTGTGAAATTACAAGGTTTTGTTTTGGATTCTCTTTCTGGTGAGGACCAAAGAAGATCCTCACTGGATATTTTGTGGCAAAAAGATTCTTAATTGCAGTGTTCCTTGATCATACATGCTTTTCAAGGTAACAATAACAATTCAATAATATAATTTCTGATTCCTTTTTTTTTTTTTGGTTGAATTTCATGAATAAGTTTGTTTCCTGTTTACAGCACTCACTTAGAGAGAAGAGGAAACGGAGATTGAGATGATTACATTTATGGACTCAAACGAGAAACTGAAGGAGATGGAGAAGTGCTTGAGTTCTCAGCTATGGCATGCCTGTGCTGGAGGAATGGTTCAGATGCCTTCAGTTAACACCAAAGTCCTTTACTTTCCTCAAGGCCATTCTGAGCACGCTTGTGGCCCAGTTGATTTCAGGAACTGCCCTCGAATACCTGCCTCTATACTCTGCAGAGTTGCTGCTGTTAAGTTCATGGCAGATCCTGAGACCGATGAGGTTTTCGCAAAAATTAGGCTGATCCCGGTTGGTAATAATGAGCCTGATTTTGAAGATGATGGAATTGGAGGCATTCTTGGGAATGAAACACAGGAAAAGCTGGCTTCTTTTGCTAAGATATTGACTCGGTCAGATGCAAACAATGGTGGGGGTTTTTCAGTTCCGAGGTATTGTGCTGAGAAGATATTTCCAAGATTGGATTACTCTGCTGATCCCCCTGTCCAGACAATTCTTGCTAAGGATGTCCATGGAGAGACCTGGAAATTTAGACATATATATAGGGGGACGCCAAGGAGACATCTTTTGACTACGGGATGGAGCACTTTTGTGAACCATAAGAAGCTTGTAGCTGGGGATTCAATTGTGTTTCTGAGGGCGGAGAATGGGGATCTTTGCGTCTGTATTCGAAGGGCGAAGAGGGGGATTGGAGGAGGGCATGAGTCTTCATCTGGGTGGAATGCTGCTGGTGGAAATTGTATGGTGCCATATGGAGGGTTTTCGGCATTTCTGAGGGAAGATGGGAACAAGTTGATGAGACTTAGCTCAAATAGTAATTTGATGGGGAAGGGAAAGGTTAGGCCTGAACAAGTTATTGAAGCTGCAACTCTCGCTGCCAATGGGCAACAGTTTGAGGTTGTTTACTACCCCAGGGCGAGTACCCCCGAGTTCTGCGTGAAGGCCTCTTTAGTGAAGGCAGCACTACAGGTCCCGTGGTGCTTAGGAATGAGATTTAAAATGGCCTTTGAAACAGAGGATTCTTCACGGATTAGCTGGTTTATGGGCACCATATCTTCTGTTCGAGTGGCTGATCCCCTCCGCTGGCCTGACTCACCTTGGAGGCTTCTTCAGGTACTCTCGTCTTTCTTAATTTTACTCTTCTTTTGGTCTTTTGGAAAGATTGTATCTAATCCTTCAAGTGTATATTCCTTTTTGTTGAATACTTGAATTCAAAGAAATCTCCCTCTTTTGCTTGATTTTTCTGATTTATCTTTTCCCAATTCAACACTTTAACCAATTTGGTTCCCTTCACTATTAATTGTGTTTCTGTATGGTTTCCCCATTATGTTCAGTTGATGCATCAATGAACACAACCTTATGCTGTTTATAAGTATGGTTTAAAATTGCAACTTTTGGCTATTTCAGGAATAAGTTACTTCTGTTCTCTGATTGAGTAGGTCATAAATTGCCAATTTATATGGAAATATATGTCTGATATGTTAATAATTGTGTATCTTGTGCCTTAAACTGGTTTGAAAGATGTCATTGACCAGATATGATGGCTTTTTCTTGCTTACTGCATTCTTAAATGAGTTTGGATTGAAAGATGCGTAAAATTGTTGACAAATTCTCCCTTAATGCTTAAATTACTTGTAATAATGTGAGTGTATAATTTATGCAAAAATATCTTGCCATTTAAATATTGTTTCATGTTCAAACAAACTGCTGCTAGTGCCAACTTCATTAAGTTGTTCTTTGACTTTGTTGAATGTTTATGAATATGTTCAATGGTGGTATTCTCAGTGATTTTCTTCTAAATAAAAAAAAAAAATGAAGAGCAAAAACATGTGCAAGTCATTTAGCATCATATTGTGTACTATAGTGGCATGATTGACTTCCATTATTTGAATCCCATGAAGGGACGCCTGGAATATGATCTTGCATCACTTTTCTAATGTAATTCTTAGGTTGTGAATCTTTTGTTGTTTTCCCAGCCAAATTGATTTCTTTTTCCTTCAATTTGTTCTTATTTGCTTAAGTTTTATCTTGCAGGTTACATGGGACGAGCCGGATTTGCTTCACAATGTACAAGGTGTCAGTCCATGGCTGGTGGAATTGGTTTCAAACATGCCAGCAATTCATCTTTATCCCCTTTCACCACCAAGGAAGAAGTTGAGACTGTCACAGCATCCGGATTTCCCCCTTGATGGTCAACTTCCATTGCCAATAGTTTCAGGCAACCTCCTCAGGCTCAACAACCCTTTTTGGTGTCTACCCAAAACCACTCCTGCTGGCATGCAGGGAGCCAGGCATGCTCAATATGGTCTCTCCTTGTCGGATCTCCACTTCAATAAACTGCAATCAGGTCTCTTTCAGGTTGGTTTCCCGCTGCTTAATCATGCAGCTACACCCAATAAGACCTCCAATGGTGGTGCAATCGTTCAAAAGCCTAGCATGAGCGAGAATGTTTCTTGCATGCTAACCATGGCTCATTCTACCCAAAATTCAAAGAAAACTGATGATGCAAAGACAACCCAGCTTGTACTTTTTGGTCAGACAATTCTTACCGAGCAGCAAATCTCTCTCAGCTGTTCTGATGATGTAGTCTCTCCAGTTCTTACTGGAAATAGTTCCTCAGGAGGGAATATGGATAAGAAGGCAAAATTTTCTGATGGTTCTGGATTTGCAATTCACGAACAAGGTCTGCCCGGGCGCCCATCTTGTGAAGTTTTCCCATGGTATAAGGATAATCGCCAAGAAACTGAACCCAACTCGGAGACTGGTCACGGTAAAGTTCTCATGGAATCGGAGGACGCATGTCGTACTCTTGACCTTTCATCATTGAGGTCTTATGATTGATTGGACAAAAAGCTGGCAAAAATGTTTGGTATAGAAAATTCTGAGACTCTGAGCCATTTACTCTATCGGGATGCTACAGGTGCAGTGAAAAAAATTGGAGGTGAACCATTCAGGTAAAACTCGTTTACTTTATACTTTTATCATCTCATTTTGTTACAAATCTTTCATATAAGCAAAATATGCGATGTGCGTTGGATGACATAATGATCAATTTCATGTTGCCGCCATTGCAGTGACTTTATGAAAACTGCAAAGAGACTAACAATTATAATGGATTCAAGCAGTGACAATGTAGGAGAGTATAGAGGAAGAATCAAACCTTGATTTCAATTTGTACAGCTGGTTGCTCAAATCCTTTATTCTCATGCTGACCTATTCACCTTTTTTAAGTTGTAGGAGGAGGTGCTTCAGTTCAAGTTCTGGACTGCCAACCTTAAACAATTTTCCCTTTTTCTGTTTTTTCCCCTTGTTTTCAAGGGATGTTTGGATTTTGAACCTTTTGATTTCAAGGTTATGGTTCATTTAACATTTTTGTTGGTATATTGTTCCCTTTAGGTTTCCTGGTTTCATAGGCAGCCGGTTCCTACAAGTACCAAGTCAATATGTACGACATGGTCTATGTATTTATCAAGAGCAAAGTTGATAAAAAAATTTGATTTGAAAGATATTGATTTGAAAAAATAAAATATAAAAAAATAAATTATAATTAAAAAAGAAAATTCAATTTTTAAGAGTTATTTTATTAATTAATTTTATTTTGATTAAGTTAAAAATAATCAAATAACAAAGACAAATAAAAATTACAAAATATGTTTTATATTCACAATCGATCAAAATAAATTAATCTATCAAAATTAATTAAAATTAATAAAAACAATCGATATTATTTAATATTAAATTTAATAAAAAATTTATTTTAGGTGTATTATATTTTAATATAATTGAAACATAATGATCGGTACAATTGCTACCGAAACAAAATTAATAACTATGATCAATAGGGTTTCTTTTTCCGATCATTGGGGAATTGGTTGAAGTCCTATAAAAGCAAAGTTAAAGCACATCCCCCCTGGTCTTGCTGTACTTCATTTCTTTTAACTACTAACTGTACAATACTAAGGTTTTCCTGTGCTTATATCATCGCTTATCCTCAATATTGTCAAAATTTGTCCTAACTAATGAAGATAAAAAAAATTAAATTAAAAGCTAGTAGAGTTATATATGTTCTTGGATGCATTTGGAAAACAATTGTTCCGTGCATGAATTAAAAAGCTAGAAAAATGAATCTGGTTACTAAACGTCTAATCAGATTACAAAAATGAAAAAAAAAATGCATATGTTGAGTTGACTGTATTACTTTGGGTGATGAGGGTTTGTTAAGGTGAATCAGATGTTTCACACTTCAACAGATTCCCATAAGATTATGAATATGGATATTCTTAGTTAATTAATCACTGCCACCTGTTAATCCCAAATTTTTTTTAACTAAAAACAAAACCAAATTAGAGGAAGGAGTTATATCCACCACATGATAATAATTGTAAATAAAAAATTAATTCGGGCATAAATAAATCTACTTGAATCAAATTTTAAAAAAATGCATTGAATAAAGTTTAAATATCCTTAATCGGTCTGTCAGAGATATTTTTAGATTTAAAGGATATTGTAATTTTTTTTTTTATTAAAGACTATCACCAGATAATCAAAAGTATTTTAAACTTTTGAGTTAATCTTATGTTAGATTAACCTAACATGCTCAGTAATACGTCGATTTGCTCACATCATAATATGTCCCACAGACTCTTCACATTTTGCCTATAAATAGAGATACTTAGGTACTATCATTTCATTTCATTCTATTTCTAAATTCTTACTTTTTTCTCTTTTTGTACTGATCTCTGATTTACGTATCAAAATATAAACTAAAAAAACATTCTTTATCTTTACTTTTAATCATTTTTTTTTTTTGTAATCTCAAAGTTATTCTCAATTCGAAGTTTGGCAGAAATACATTCAATTAAACAATAAAAATTAAAAATTAAATAAAATACTATTATGGTTATTTGTTGTAATATTGACAAATAATAATTTTCAAATTGATCAATGAACTATTAAGCATATACATGCATTCTGATTATTTACATTGATTTTTGTATCACCTACAGAAAGCAGAAGAAACTGGGACATAGGCATATACATTCACAGACCAGACCAGATCCTTGGTTGAATCATGTGAAGTCCTGAAATGAAAACCCTTACATCAAATAGTTTTCTCTCACCTTAGGAACTTGTTCCAAGCATATCCCAACTTTATTAACCCTTACAGCTTACAAGAATCAATGAAACCCACTTTTTTAGCATGATTATATGTAACAAGCAACGCTAGAACTCTAAAACAAAAACCACTTGGTCATTTAAAATAGAGTTCTGGTAATCTTAAAAAAAAAACATAAAAATAGTCAAATTAAAAATAAAAATAAAAGTATCCATTATAACTTGAATCAATTAGAAATTAATACTTAAAAATTATGAATTAAAAAAAAACTTAAATATGTAATATATTTTTTAATAAATATGTAATAGAGTAGGAAAGATTTAAGAATAAATTATGGACTTCAAAACAAAATTAAAAAAAAAGTGAAAAAAACTTGGCCTCCTCCTTGTTAGTGTTCTGGTATTAGACTGTTAGTCACTGTCGGAAGTTCTCTTTTTTTTTTTTTTTTTTACCATGGAAAAAGAAAAGGAAAGAAAAAGTCACCTCTTGAAACGACAGATTCTGGGAAGTAATGACATGGCGTCAGACAGGAACCCGTACGGTGGTCCCGACGTTTAAACTGGCTTTAAAACCATAAACTGAATTAACCAAACACCAATACAAATGTATGACTGCGACTGACACGTAGATTTTCACATTATTGTGACGTGTCACAACTTGTTTTTTTATTAATTAATTGTTTGCTTATCATGCTGGGAACAGCAACACTGTCACTACTCAAATTGTGCAGATCTATCAAAAAAAAAAAAAAGGTGACAAGATCAGATCAGTTAAAAGTTAAAACTCAAAGGCCTTTTTGCATTCTGTTGGATGCTGGACCTACGCTATCATCGTACAGTGAACAGCAATCACTCTAGCTTTTAACAATTATTATCCACACGAAATATTCCGCCAACCTCAGCTCTCAGCACTGTATGATAATAATGCCAGCAGGCAACCAATTCTGCTGCACTAAACCGGGAGGGTGTAAGAAAATTTGGTGGCAACTTAGAACAGGAACATTGATCAACCCTTGTCAATTTGGGCAAAGGTTATGTTACTTGGAATCAAGAATGAGTATCGGATTGTTTTATGTTTTTTATATATTTGAAAGACGACCTTTCATATTTATGTTTGTGGAATCTAGGTCGAATATGAGTTGTTGAAGGAAAATAAAGGAGAAAGATAGGGAAAAATCACAAATTAACAAGATTGTTGATCTTAGTAAAAGTGGCTAATAATGCTTTCATGTGAGACTTATAGTAAGAGGCCCAATGCCATAAGCCACCATCCGTAAACCCATTTTCTGTGTCTTGCTTGAGAAAATATAATAGTTTATCCAATCTTGGGTTTAGGGTTTTCAAGGTACCGAACCTGCCCCAATATCGGCCCACAAAATGCCGTAGTTAAAGCCCCAAAAGACCAACAATCATGCTCACAACCGTAATGTCAATATGGATATACCGTTTACCACATGTATTTTTCTCAGTGCACATGCTAATATGCCCATTACACAACGTTTGGGGCAGCTTTGGGTGCCGGGAGTGTGGATGTTTAGTCACTGCCTTAAATGGGTATGGGATTTACTTCATTTGCTAGTTGAATAACACTGGTGATGTTTTGGTCCAGATCACTTCAACCCTGACATTTACTGCTGCTTGTGCATCTGCTGGTATCACGGTCCTGATCCGCAATGATCTTGATTAATGTGCTCTGAACCACTGCACTAGGTTTGAGACTGCTACAGCAATGGCCTTTATCAGCTGGTTTGCCATGTCACCGTCCTTTCTCTTGAATTTCTGGTCATTGTCATCCCAGTGATGATTGTGTGCAGAGTTCGTCAGTGGAATTTGTACTTCTGTTGTAGCATCGTGCAGCCTTTTCTATCTGTTGTATTGTTGATTGCACCAACTGTGTATATAGATCATTTTTGGTAGGGTTCCTAAATTAATTTTTTCCATTTTGATACAACATTTGTATCTTTGAGGGAAAACAATCATTAAATTATAAATTAGCTTCCCCCCCCCCCCCCCCCTTGCTGTCAATCCTAGTGCTTATTGGCTGCTGATCATGGATTTCCTATTTCAAAGATATTGCTTCTTCTTATCCAGCCTAGGGGCTGATAGCCTGATAGTCACACGACTGCTTGCTCTTCAAACATTGGAATCATTTTTTTCTTTCCTTTTTTTTTTGTTTGGAAATCCTAACATTGGATGTTTTGGTGAGGTTTAGCTTGCCTGTTGGTATCTCTTATCCTTTCAAATCCATTTACTCTCTAGAAATTCTATGTGAACAAACTTAACTTGGCAACAAAGTTTCCTATACATCTTTCCGTTCATGGTGTTACAAAAATGACTTGGTTTCATTGGTAGTTTGGATGCAATCCGATATTAAGTTTCTGTAAGCATATCGAAAGTGGTCTCTGCCTTTTGATTTAGATGGTTTCTGCAATCCACATTGTACACGCTTACGGAATATCCTTCATGTGTTTATTCTTTCACATGAAAATGATACAGGTAATCATGTTGATGTCATTGTTGAACAGAGAAATGGGTTTTAGATTAATTAATCCTGGAATTGAGGGCTAAGGAACAACACGTGTAACATGAGACAAGTCAGCAAATTTAGTTTCATGTATATGTAATCAATCGGACATCACGATTTGCATGTTTCTTGAGTTTTGTCCGTCTTAACTCTCTTCTTTGACCTCCAAATTCTGGAGTTAAATTTCCACATTTCATGGGGTAAAAAAAGCTTTATTTTCACACTACAAAGATATGAAACATATATATTTTTTTGCCGACAGTTACTTGTCTTATCAGTAAAATACCGAACTTTTAAGTTTGATGATTAGAATTCAAATCTTCAAGGCGTTGAATACCGTAAACAAAACACACTCCCATGAAAAGAATGACCAGAATTAAAGGGCTTATGGAATCCCATGGTAACTCCCATGAACTTCGAACAATGCAAAGGAAAACTGATCCTCCCATTCTTTGGAAGAAACACATTTTTCATGAACTACCCTAAGATGCATATAGGACACCTCTGATGCAATATTCATCAGTTTATTGGCGGCAGACATGGGAAGTAGTTATTCTTATGTGATTTTGGCAAGTGATTCATTATTCTCTTTCACAATTGGCCTTTTCCTACTTATTTCCAGGAGTGGTTGCCTCTCTCTTACGACTGAAAGCTTTGACATGGCTTGTCATCACAAGAATTGCGTTTGCCTGCTTATAGAACAAGCCATTTATGGTTGCAAAACAACGGTCTCTTCTCTCCTTTTCATTGTCTATATTGAAAGGCAGTTGGTAACGGCCATGTCAGATTCTTGAAGAAGCAACAAATTTTCATCTTAATGACAAGTTATCCACGGCTATAAACACATATATATCAAGTTTTTTGTTTAGCTTATTCTTCAATATCTGATCATTGAGAGTTTGATAATGTCCACGGAAGAAGAAGTGGAAGAAGAGAGAAGGCTATGCCAGTGTTTAAGGAAGTATCACACAATTATAAAACAGGTATTTTAATGTCAATATCTGATGCCATAGGCCATTTTTTTTCTTTGGCCAAAGAAAGAATGATGCCAATTTTTCACAATATTGTTTAAATGGATGGGTGTTCTCTTTCAGTTTGATGAGCTTGTTGAGGTGATGGATGTTAGAACCAGGCCACCAAAGCGACGAAAGGTTATTTCTTTTCTTAGCTATTAATTTCAGAGAGAAGCAAACATGGCATTTAAGCCTATATTTGCCCAACAAATCGGCAAAAATGAAATTCCATGCATAAATTACATCATTTTTGCTTTGGTTTCTGCCTTGATGACTGATCCTGTATTGATGTCTTGTAGAGCACTAGAGGAAGCAACAGTTCCAATGACCCTGACTCTGCAAATCAACCTGACAACGGAGAAGTGTTTGTGCAGACGATAACAAGATTTCTCCATGAACTGAAATCTAACCCTACAACAGATCCTGATTGTTCAACCAGTACCCGTCATCGAGGATAGCTCCCACTTAGTTTAGCAATGACTGTTGCTTTAAAAGCTCAAAAGTCATCTAGTTTAGGAATAACTGATATTAACAAGCTATCTTGGCTATCTCAATTGTATTAAAATGTAAGAAAAAAATTAACTCGGAATTTCATTTAGCTGGTTCAGACTATCATTCAAGAATAGGCAATGTTAAATCTACCTATGATCTAAATTTAATGAGAAAATGAAAATGCTAAGAAGAAATCAGCAAATCTCTTCTAGTTCCTTGGCACACTTTGAAGCCTTGTCTGCTTCCTCATCAAACCTCAGCCTCCACTCTGCAGATTCATCCATCGCCTTTTTGTTTGCAAGATCAAACTGTCTCCTTCTCTCCAAGAAATAAATAAATAAAAAAAAAAACAATGGGTGTAAAATCAAGCAGCTGCTGCTTGTTCTATAATTTTTTTAATAAAAAAATCACAATTTAAAAAAATATTGAACTTAAACCTCATATTTTATCTCACTTTTTAAAAATAATTACGTGGATCACTTAAACAAAACTTTCCTTCCCTTGTTTGATGATTTAATACTACCCAAGATTTATAATTGCTGGTTTTTTTTTTTTCCTAAGATGAGCCAATGATGTTAGAGTAGAATAACTGGTTTGTTAGGTGCAATCACTTAAGTCAAAATTAAGACCTAGATAAGGTATCTTCTTTTATTGGTTTAACGCCCTATTTTTTCTAGAATTTTAGATTCAGGTAAGACTATTATTTCTTAATTAATGAATCAACAGGCAGGAACATTTGCTCTTCAAGCTTAGTATTAGTAATTTAAAAATAGAATAATTGTCAAAACTTGCGAAAAAAGTTTTTACTTATCATATTAATTTTTTTATTATTTTAATATATTCTCGTTTATTAAACTCTAATTTTATTAATAAAGTTTAAAATTTTCACTGTGTGACGAAAATAATTTTTTCCGACGATAAAATCAAATGAATATTGAAGTTTTTAAAAGAAGGATTCATTTGCCTATGTAAAGATTATTTGGTGAAAACCGAAATTAATTTTCTAATGAATAGAATAAATGGTTTATTTTATTTTGTTAATGCAAAAACAACATATACACGAAAAGTGTCTGAGAATAATAGACATCAAATAAAGTAATAAAATATTTTTTTTTTGGTTTGCCTTACAACTTATACCTTAGAAAACAAATAAGAATTTAAAAAAAAAAAAGAAAGAAAATCAAAAGGTTAGATTGTCATTTGCTTCGATGAATGAACAATAAATAAATTTTACTTAAAGGGTTGTTCTTAGCTTGCCTGTTGCTGCCACCCACCACCATTTCAATGACTCTACATCATCACCATCCTTAATTTAATTTCCTCTCTTAATTAGTATTTTTTTCAGTCTCGTTTTAAGTATTTTTCTTTGATTTTCATGTATATTTAAAAAATTAACTTTTATGTTATTTAATATTATAAATTATTTTTTTATAATATTAATGTATCATAATTTTTATTTTCAACAAATAAATTTTAAATATAAAAAGAATATAACATGTTTAAAAATAAAAATATTTCTTCATTTTGGCATTTCAAAAAAGAAAGATAAACACTTCAAATGAGACAATATATAAATTCTTGAAACTTAATTTCCATAATAAATAAATATATAAAATACCCAAAAAAAATGAAAAAAAAATGTTGTCAATCTAAACTAAAATTAAATTATCATCATTGATATTTCTGATAAAAATCTCAAATTTTGGATATAGTTATGTGATGCCAAAAAACAAAAAATACAAAACAAAGCATCAAATAATAAATATATATATATGGCAATCAAAAAATTTCCAATTAACTCTATAAAATTCTTACTCTTAAAAGAAAAAGAAGAATAATTTTTTCAACCTGTGTTTTATTTTCTCTTCCTTGGGCTAATCTTCAAACCCTGTTTTTTGCCAGACAGCATTTCTAAGACGACGAAGGTCTCTTCCTTTCAAAGTCCTTCCAATTCCTTCATGAACAGAAAACGAAGCCCCTCTTCTCCTAGCCAAAACTTCGTGAGGAGGAACCCTTTTATCACGATCATCGTCGTCGTCGTCGTCGTCATCGTCGCCATCGTCAACATCTTCATCGCTCTTGCCATGTTCCCTGTATTCCTCTTTGAGAATCTTGGACCAGTCCGGGATGTTGACTGGCAATGAAGCTGAGGCCGGTGCCATTTGGCTACTATGATCACTACTTACCATCATTTTTCTAGAAACTTTCTTTGACGATGCTCGTGAACTTGACAATGGTTTCTTGGCATCCAAGTTGATTGTTGATTGATCGTGACAACTATTATTCCACACATCTGCTTCATCGAACTCGAAAAGGTCGTGTTGATCAAATGAAGGGTTGTTGAGATCAAGTTCCATGGTTGGGTAGATATAGCTTGAGATCTTCCTTGATTCCATTTTTGAAACAAAATTAAAGCTTTTAACAGTTGGAAAGAAGAAATTTTGGGTGTGTCTTTTCTTTCTATTGTTTTAGCTTTCATCTGCATTTTTATACTGGTGCAATGGATAAGCTCTTTTTTTTAGAAAAGAATTAGTAGCTTAAAATAGAAAAAAAAATTTATTAGATATTAAAATTTAAACTTTATATGTTCATCTTCTTTGAAAAATAGCTGTATTTACCAATTAAATTCCAAATTCTAAGCTTTCTTTCACAAGCAAATCAAAGTTACTAAAATACAAGGAGGAAGATTCTACCATGCTTGCATCCTCAGGAGCTACCCATGGGCTCCCCTACTTGATTTTCTCAAATGATAGGTTGATTTCAAGTACAATTTGTGTGATTCACGTGTATGATTTTGTACATTATTAGCAAATTGTAACTCACAACCTTATTAAAATGTTAACAATTATTATACGTAAACATTTAATTCAATGCTTATTGCATGAATACCTATTTTTAAAAATCGTGTTTAAATATTTGTATCTTAAAATAGAAAAATCACGAATTATTATTATAATTATTTATTTTAAACAAATATACTTTTGATTAAATAATATACAATATTAAAAATTAGTAATATTAGTTTTTTTCTTGTATAAAAAAATCAAAATAAAAAATATAATAAATATTGAAATTTAAATGTTAAATAAAACATAAAAATATTTTCATAATACTATAAATCGTGTTCAATTTAATTTGAAGTAACTAAAGGTGTGCCATAATTTTGCATGATTTGGACACTATTTAAAAAAGGTTAAAATGTCTCATAGGTTTTTGTATTTTTTAATTTTTATGAATTTCATTTTTATAATATTATTTTAAAATTTTTAATTTTTGTAATATTATTTTTAAAAATTTAATCTCTATATTATTATTTTTTAAAAAATTTAATCTCAATTCAATTATTAATAATTGAATTGAAATTTTTAAAAAATAATATTGTAAAAATTAAATTCTTTTAAATAATATTAAAATAACTAAATTTTTAAAAATAAAAAAAATATAAAGACCTATTTTGACCATTTAAAAAATTATCAAGTTACCAATTTTGGGCGCACGAAATGACACGTAAGATAGAGGTTTTGGTGGGGCCGGCGGTTGAATAATTGATAGTGGATAAAGGTTAGATAGCCGAAGGGTGAAGAATTTATCCAACTGGACCAAAGGGATGACAAATGGACCAATCAGAGCGCTTCATTATTCGCAGCAAAATTCATCCGTTACCACGGTTTCGGTGGACTGCAAGACCAAGGCAAGGGGATCCACATTCATCACCGTTAATTATTAAAAGATCGGAGCGTCTATATCTTGCCACGTGATCTTCGGCAAGTTTTTCCTTAAGTGGAATGTCGCGATTCGCGAGTTTTTTTTTTGTCAGACTGCTCAAATGACGTGGCACGTCACGACAATAAGGTGACCAAATGTTGAAGACTTGAAGTAGTAAATGGACACGTGTACAGCCTGGACAACTAAACGCAATACAATTGCAATAAAAATATTTTTAAAATATAAATATGAAATAGTTTAAAATAAAAATATATATATATGAATTTGACAAAATAAAAAATTATTTCATAGTTAATATATTGTTACATAATAATTATTTTATTTTATATGCATTTGATATGAAATAAATATATACACTAATAGTAAAATTTAACTTATTTTTTTTATAATGATTTAAAAAATATAAAAATGAAATGATTTATAATTAAAAAATATAAATTTGATAAAATAAAAATATCATTTCATATTTAATATGTCAATATAAATTATTATATAAGAATTATTTTATTTTATTTATATTTAACATGAAATAAATATATATACGAATAATAAAATCTCACTTATTTTTTTTTTATCAAAGGTTGCCATATAAAAGGCTACTAAGTTTGAAGGCTTTTATATAAAAAAATAAAAATGTAATTTTATTAATATAAATTAATTCGACCAATTAGATTTTATTTTAATGACAAAGAAAAAGCTCTTCGATATTTAGGTTTTAAGTTGAAACCCGTCTGAGTTTTGTTTGCTCAATTAAATAATAATTTGTTAATTGTTAATTTGGTTTGTTTATTATTTTTTATTTTACAAATTACTTAATTATAATTGTAATTATAATTTCTACTAATAAATTTTTTTTACAAAAAATTTTTTGAATAGTTCATGAAACATTTGATTTTAAAACGTGTACTATTTTTTATTTTCAAATTTAGACTACATAGGGTAGGCATGCATTAAGACTTACCATAAATAATTTTTAAGTGTTGAAAACGTTGCAATAGCTTGAGTTTCATTTTTTGCATGTTTTACTTTGATAAGCTATAATTTTTTAGCCCAAGTTCATTGAACATTTGGGATTCTTTTAATCTTCACAAGTAAGGACAGTAAAGCTTTGCTTCACAGCAACTTCCTTTAAAATTTCACCCCAATGTTATGCTAATTAATTTGCTTATATTTATATATGTTACCATGAAAACTTTTTTTCAAAGGGTGTTAGTTATTTGTTAAATTAAATTAAATATGAATTTAAGGTTTAATTTAGTTTAGACATAATAATTTGTATATTCGTATCGTATAAAATATTGATATATTAATTTATGTTTTACACGAAAATTAAGTATTACAGTTCGTGTCAACACAAAAATATAAAATATATATTTTTAATTTGTTAAACTTATTAATGGTTTTTTCTAAAATTTTAAATAGTATCATCATTATATTTTTTATTCATATCATTTTCGTATTATATTATCATATCACATTTTAAATTATTAGGTCTAATTTAATTGATTAATGTAATCACTTTTAAAATGTGACATTTAACAGATGTAAATTTTAAATTTTAACACATATAACTCTTTCGTTTATCTCAAATCACCAATTTTTTTATAAAATTAACTAAATTAAATCACATTTATTGTTGAAAAATTAAATTTCTTTATTTATTTAACCATTTTAATTATGAATTGTGTTGTCAACATTATATTGAAAATTTTCGATAACATCATCGAACAATTGGATTATACGTTTAATTTGGAAATGTTATTGTTTTTCAAAAGGAAGAAAAATCAGCCATGCATAAAATAATCGTGTTAATTTTTTTTAAAGAAAGTCTAAAAACATGAGCGTGTTACCAATTGATCAGTGGGTCATTATTCATCATGTCTGGCAGTCCAAAATGTGAGGAGAAAAAATCCCACACTTTCTCTTTTCAATTTTGGTTAACTTTGTAAACACCCATCTTTAATAGATTCATGGGTATTTCTAGGTTGGAAAATACTTAGATGAAGTTTCTTACTAAAAACGATTAAATGAAAATTAAAATCGATAAATTAAAAGATTTCGTTATATAAATAAGTATGTAAATTTTAAAAAATTTTGAAAAATTTTAATATATATTTTTTAGATAAATATTTTTAGTAAAAATATTGATAAAATTTTTACTGTTAAATAAATATCAACAAAGTTTGAATTATAAACAACATTTTTAATAATTTTTTTTACATATTATTAATGTTCATATTAAATATATTAATTTATCAATTTGAATTTTTTTATTAAAATTTTTATTAAATCAGTTTTAAGAAAAAACTTCATAAATTTTACTTAAAGAACTTTATGTAAATTGTCTATTTCGAGTTTCACTTGAATCTAATTTTTTATTAAGTGATTTTAAAATTACATTTTTCATGTTAATTTAATTATGCATTTAAAATTTTATTTTTAAAATATTTGATTCTCACAAAAATAAAACTTTATAACAATAAAATTTTTTCTCTCTATTGATTAGACTAACTCGGTGTATTGTGTGTGATTTAGACTAATAATCATAATCAAACATGAATTTTTTTTTACATAAAGTTTTTGTATGATTTGAATTCAAATTCTACTTTATTTTACGGAATGATGCATGTACATATCAAACAAACGTTTTATTTGTGAATCATAAGTTCACCAATAGGAAAAAAAACTTGTAACTTCACTCATTGTTTTAACTCTTCATATTATTTTAAAAAAAAATCTTTATATGTATAAATAATACAAACCATGGGGTTAAATTCAAATATGTTACGACTTTTTAAATTAAAGACGTTTAATCAAAACCTAAACTCTAGAAAAATTAGTAAAAAAATAAACAGTAAAAAAATAATTGGAATCTTGCTAATATAATTTATTAGTATGATATGTGGGATTTGACCACTCACTATTGCATCCAACTTGCTCCAAAGAAAAGCTTCAATTTTCTTGAACTTTTTAGGGAGGAAGTCTATTGTTTTTCCTCAAGAGAAAATCATGAAGGATTGGAACAATACAAAGAAAACCCAAGTGCATAAAGTTGATATAAAACCTAGAATGCATGCATCAGCTAAATTCTTTTGAAAGTCTTCATTCAAATGATATGAGGGAGTTGCCATAAATAATTAAGATTTAAAGTTTGAATGTAAAATATCGATATTTAAATCTTCACAGTTCTTTGTTAATAAACGATTTATAAATTGAAAAGTCTCAAAAAATTCATAAATCATTTTGTAGGTTGATAATTTACTTTTAACCTTGAAAATGAAATAACATTTTTTGTTCTTAAAGTTTTCTCAAAAAAAAAGAAGAAAATCTTCATTTAAATTGATAAAAAGAATAAAATAAATACACTAACCTAATAACGTTTTTCGATACTTGAAATTATATAAATTAAATTCTGATAACTAAAATTAAAAGTTTAACATTTTAAATATTATAATTTATCCAAAACCTCCCTCTATAAGAAATGACCCACTCCCTTTTTTAATGTAGTTAAGTGTGTTATATCTGTCTCGTAATGGAGTTCCTTGAAGGATTTAAAGGATTCATGTGACATGTCTAGAGACTCTTTATCAATTGGTAAGGTTGTCAATATGGCCTCTTAAATCCCAAATTGACACGCAAGCCAAAAGAAGAAAAAAATTTTGATTATTTCTCCTTGATGTTGTTGATTAAGTCATTTCTAGTCCATCAAGTTACGATTGCTGTAAAATTAAAAAATGTGCTTTATTTGCTTTAGAATATGAGTATACAAAGTCAATTATTCATGTTCCCATCTTTGAATTTTCACAAATATTATGCCATTGATTAAAACATATTATAGTATTCTATTCAATGCCTATGGATATAGCATCCCTATGATATATCTTACTCTTTACATCTTGAAAAATATATTAATATCATATTAAAAAAAATGTTCAATTACTTAAATTTTATCTTATCCATCGGACTCGAAATTTTTAAAATGATATTTTATTAAACTTTAATTGTTGATGAGGTGTCCCCTTAGATTATATCGATTCATGGGTTGAACAATTTGTCTGAACCTGAAAGTTCGTTTGAAATTTTAAAAAGTTTGTATATGAATATTAAACTCGTTAAAAGGTCTGGACAAATAAATGATACCTAATTAAAAAATAATGCTGAGCTTAGGTTTCATCATTTAAGCTTGGATCCGATTTGAAAATTAAAAAATAATTTTATGATAATGGGACAAGGCCTATTTGTTTTATTTTTTATAATAGACAAGATCCATTTGTATTTTAACTTATAACAGGATAAAGTCCAATTTTTTCTTAATGCAAAACATTAAAGCAATAATATAATTTTAAATTACATTCAACAAAATTAAATTGGATCAAAGCTCAAATGACTCATAAATAAATTAAAATTAATTAAATTAGTTAAATTAATAATTTACAAGAAAATAAAAAAATTAATTTTTTTAATTTAAATACTAGTGCTTTGAGCGGGTTTAAATTTTTATTATTATGTGTAAAAACGAGTTTGGGCAACAAATAAAGCCTAAAAAATCAAGTCAAGCTGAGCTGGGCCTAGGCTTATTTAATATGTTGGAATATCATGTTTGATCCGATCTAAATCCGTTTGGCTCATGAGTAACTCTACCTTAAATACAGATTGTATGTTTTACAAGTATTATAATGTATTTTTTTTATCCCATTTTCTTTGTCCATCTTTTTTTTTTTTTGGGATATCCCAAAATTATATTCTATTTCTTTTATTGGACATCTAAAACTTTTACTTTTTATATTTTAAAATTTTTTATGATTTTTTTTTTTTTGACATTTGAAACTTTAATTTTATTAAAAAATTAAATATTAATATAAAATATATTAAAGTCAAAACTTTTTTTTTAACTCTATGAAAATGACAAATATTTTGAGACAAAAATACTAATATTTTGAGATCTGAATTGCTTATCATTATTGTTAGATTAATTAATGTGAGCTTTGGATGAAACTCCTAGTTTCAATATGGGAAAATGGCTCTGAGGAACTTTGGGGCTTGGGCCAACATCATAAAATCAATCTTCAGCTTCATCAAACATCAATATTATATTGTACAAAAGATTTGATTAAGGCCACACTAGTTGCCTAAATACTTTAGGTTCAATGTGGATTCATGAATAATTCCTTTCCATTTTAAAAACCACTTTGTCTTGGCCCAATTGTTAGTCAAGTGGCACCATAGCCTAATTTTCTCCTCCTTCTTCCTAATTCATTCAAAGTCATTTTAGGCTACCATAAGTTCCTCGATGAAAATCCGTCATGTTAAGTTTATGCTATCCAAAGTTTGATAGCTTTCAAATCGATTAAGTTAAATTTTAGATTTAAATTTTTAAATTTTAATATTGCGATGAATCCATTAAAAAAAAACATCACATGAAATTCAAATAATATCAATTTTCAACCACTAATTTAGAATAATATGGTTACTTTTAGTTCTCTTATGGATTCTTTTTCAAAGTGATACATTATTAGTTTCCAAAAAGATAGGATATTATATTTGTTGTACCAAAAAAGGAAAAAGCTTTTTGGGCTTTGGCTGTAATAGTCTCATTAAAAATTAGATGGGCTAATGGGCCATTAAGAGGCCCAAGATTTCCCCAATACCCCAACTTACCCCTAAACCCTACTTTCCCGCCCCATTAAACTTCTCAAGACACTCCTCGTTTTGCCTTCGCCTCCGCTAAAATCCCAGTTTTGCCTTCTCACCCTCTACATCCTAACCCTAGCTTCCAACGCCGCCGCCGCCAACCATGCCGCCAAAGTTCGACCCGACTCAAGTTGTCGACGTCTTCGTTCGAGTCACCGGCGGCGAAGTCGGGGCTGCCAGTTCCCTCGCTCCCAAAATCGGTCCTTTGGGTCTCTCCCCCAAGAAAATCGGTGAAGATATCGCTAAAGAAACCGCCAAGGACTGGAAGGGCTTACGTGTCACCGTCAAACTCACCGTCCAGAACCGTCAAGCCAAAGTCACTGTTGTCCCCTCCGCTGCCGCGTTGGTCATCAAGGCATTGAAAGAGCCTGAGAGGGATCGTAAGAAGACGAAGAATATTAAGCATAATGGGAATATTAGCCTTGACGACGTGATCGAGATCGCCAAAGTAATGAGGCCCAGATCTATGGCTAAGGACTTGAGAGGAACGGTGAAGGAGATTTTGGGAACTTGTGTTTCTGTTGGGTGTACGGTTGATGGGAAAGACCCTAAGGATCTACAGGAGGAGATTTCTGAGGGGGAAGTTGATATTCCCTTGGAGTAAACAAAAAAAAAAGTGAGGGTTTTTGGTTTAATTATTGTTTTCTTGTTTAAAGTTTATGTTTTTATTAGTTGGGTAATTGTTAAAAATGGTGATGATTAAGTATCCTGATGGGTTTAATGATGATGAAATTTGTGGATGGTGGTGGGGTTTATAATCTGAATGAGGAGATGCAAGGTTTAAAATTTTTCTTTAGGTGATTTTGCTTCTTGTGGAACGAATATTGGGTTGGAATCTTAATTTTGATAATTGCATTTTCTGATGCACTTAATTTGCTTCCTTGTTTGATGAATTGTTGAATGTGTGGTAGGATTTTTGAGTTTTGTGGTGATTGATTCTTATTTTGTGCGTTTCATTTTTCTCTGCTTGCCTTCTGTTTTGTAAGCATTTTGCTGTTGGTTGATTAATTCAGGCTATTACTGATATAATTTTGTTTCAGTAACATTGCCGCCTATGGATTCTTTTTGAATGTAGTAATGTAGAGGGTTTTGATGCTTGGGTCAATGGTTTGGGTTGGTGTTATGTTGATGCTTAGTCAACTTATGCTCTTTGCAGTTTTCTATTGTTTCTTGAAAGTGTTTATGGCTATAGAATAGCTGTGAATTTGAAGTGCATCATTTCTATTATGGAATCCCTTTGCTAGGCAGAGTAGTTAAGACTTTGAAGAACCTTAGCTGCCTGGTTATGATCCTAAGTTGTATGTGGTCTAGGAGGTTCACAAGGCTTCTGCTGTGAGTGGTATTTCTTATGAAGCTGTCGGTTATCTGAAACTCTGACTTTGCAATTATGATACTTTTTGAAAGCTTATTGTGGGTTGTTCTTTTTGGTTAATATAACATTATTGTTGAATTCTTTTTCACTTTTCTTGCATGATATTGATGAAATTTATTAGTTGAATATGTCTTTTGATAACTCCTGGTTACTAGTTTTTGGTAATGCATCAGAGTTTGGATAGATTTGGGAGGAAAAACTTTTGTGAAAGTGGTTGGACATGTTGCTTTCTTATTTGGCCTATAGAGTATCCATCAGGCATCAAGCTGTGTCTTGTTTTCTTGCACCAAAAAGGATCAGTGAGAAGCTTAAGTCGCATATGGTGCCCATTTTTCATGCAGTCATTTTCTATTCCTTACATAGTTCATGGAACTTGATAGAGCATCAGCTATTTGTCACTTTGTAGTACCTTATAGTGACAGATAGTCTGTCTACTTGATTGCCTTTCACCTCTATCCTCATTCCCCTCTCCCTCACAAGAAAAAAAGGTAAAAGGCCCACCTTTAACCCCCCCCCCCCCCTTTTAATTGATACTGTTGAAAAACTATCTACAAATAGAAGTAAGCGACTTATTATCTGTCTAGTAATTACTAATGAGTTAGTAGACAATATGGACTATCATATGACAATCTCCTTTTGGTCTCTAATCAAGGTCAAAAGGTTTCTGCTTCAATTCCTTGTCATGCAAGTGTTTCTGTTGTTGTAAAGGATAGGAGTTTCCAGTTTTGATTAACTTGTCATCTTTAATGATGTACTAGTAGAGGTGCAAATTTGATTTGCCTTGCGATTTCAATTGATTGTAGATGGGCAACATCAACATGAGATGATATGGATTTGGATAATGGGTTTGGATTTCACTATCAGTTGTTGGAATTTGTGCTTTAGGTTTCATTGTGGTTTATGTTTATGTTATTCATTCTTCTTGATAGGTGGGGTTTTTTAGATTTCTAGTAGGCCTCTCTTTTCCCATAAAATATGTGGTAAGGTCGAACTATAGACTGACACATGCAGAACCAGCAAAGTACGCCACTTAGAGAGGCTCAAGTCCGGAAGAAGCCTTTTCTAAATCGTCAGACCATGGACATCAACTCGACTACGTGACCAATTCTAGCCAGCAGATGAAGTTACACCATTTAAGATATCATATGCTGGAACTTGTTTGTTTCTCCCTTCAGGTATGCCCTGGTTTCACCATCCAATTCCCTCGCTTAAGATGAGTCGATCTCTAATGACACTAAAAGGCTTGATGATCGTGCACATGGTGCTGCAAAAATAGCAACAGCTTCATACGGTAATACAATCAAGAATACATTCAATGATTTAGCAAATACTGTGCCACCCGCATAGTTCTGCAATAAATCTTATTGGGAATCTCAATATCCACAGAGAACCCACTCACCTAGCTACCTAAATTATCACCAACAAACAGTCCTCCAGCAGATGCTCGACGATTTGCCCCACGAAAGGAGTTTCAAAACAAATACATTCTATGCGGGAGGATCAAGTTCCATTTCTAATGTCAGTTTTTCAAAGGTTAAGGTCTCTTCTTTTGATTAGCCAAAAACAGATTGTGGAATGGTAAGGGTTCATCCTATGGCTGGTATTGAAGTCATTTTCTATTTTTGCGTGCAAATGCTGGAACTTACCCTGGAATCAGGCTTGTTATTCACATGGTAGAATACCAATTTTTGATGAAATAAATGCAGTCTAAATCAAAGCATTCCCATCGTTTCCGGAATGTTCTCTTTTTTAATAGTAAAAGATTCCTATACGAACTTTCTTCGTTCCGGAAACCGTGTTTAACGCCAATGTACACATGGATCGCGGTCTACCATCAATTTGGCTTATGATTCAACCTACTCTGTTTTCTTGCTTGGATATTTTTAGTTGTGTCATTTTCATCCTTCTCTATTTAAGCTCTTTTGGCATTGATATTCATCTCAAGTCTCAATTGAATTGGTTCCTTCTTCTCCCTTTCAAAACAAGAAAAGCTTTTTTGCAAGTCCTCCCCAGGTGTTTTTAAAATCTCTCTTCTTCCCAGGGACAGGAGGAAGAGAGGAATTCATTGTTAACCATCAATAAAAAATTTAGAAACCGCCTCTTCATCAAGGTTTCAATGGCCAAGGAAAGTAGGAAAAGATATTCCTGGATGGAAGTAGCTCCAGCTCCAATCATTTACCCCCAAAAGCCTTCCAATTCTCCAGGTTTGGAGACTATTGTTGAAGATTCTGCCGAGGAATATGATGACAATGCTTAATTCAAGGACCCCGCTGAATGTATTATATCCGAAATCCTCGAGTATTCTTAGCATCCAAGGGATGTTTCGTTGCCTTTTGCCAGAACAATGGTTCATTAATGCAGAGAAGCAACCAAAAAGAATACATCCATGAAGGATCGAGAAAACTAAGCACTGCTTAAATTAGCAATGTACTGTAAATTTTGTAGATCAGTTTTCTTGTTATGATCTGTATATATTCTTTTCCTATAAAGGAAAGTAATTAATTTTTTGTTCACTTAAATTAGTGTCTTGCTCTCAAATTTTCTTTCTGCTATCACCCTGCAATCATCATGAGAATTGCATGTTTAATCATTCCAGGCTGAAACTTTGACACCATATAAATTCATGACAGAGCCAGTGAAAGACCTACTCTAAATTTCTGACTAATGCTTTCCTCTTTGTTTCCCTTACAGCATATCTTTCTTCTGTCAAATCTAATTCTTTATTCATTACATCAATCTTCAATTTTTCATAACAGAATAAAAATGTAAATTTCCATGCAAAGCATTTGTAAGAAAACCATGGTAGAATAGGCCTTGTCTTATACCCCCCAACGTGTCAAACTTCAATCTTCAAACCCATTCGAGACCTGTTCATCAATGCTCTGTATCAGAATCAAATCAATCTTTTGAACAGGGGCCACGTGCACCAATTTTCACTCGTTGCTTTAAGTGAAAAAAATAATGTAGTTAGGTCACTTTGTTCAACTTGGAATTTGGAAATATCTGTCCTGAGGCCTGACGACAAAGTTACATCCAGCCAACTAATTGTTGCCAATGTGTAGTGGACAAGTGTTTTCCACATTTGTCTCGTGCTCGTGACAAGTGCTTTTTACTTCATCTTTCATATTTTCCACATTGCTTTGGCTTTAAGAGGCAGCAATCCCTCCATTTTCGTTGTCTTGTGCACAATAATTTTTCACTTTAACTCTTCTTATAAAAACCATCGATTTCCCATTCACCCCTCAACCCACTTCCAGTCTACATCCAGCAAAGTCCATAATCCTGAAGACAAGTTCCAGGACAGGTTCTGTCTTTTTCCCATTGGTCTGATCTCTTTCATCTGGTGCTAAAATTTATCAGAAGTAGAGTAAAAGGAAAGGCTTTGTAATTCAGCAATGGCAAAGGAGATTAGCTATTTTAGTTCTTGGATTGAGGTCGCACCAGCCCTTCTCATTTCACCTCTCAGAACTTCAAATTCTCCTGTATTGGAGACAATCACAGAAGAAGAAGCTGAGGAATCGGATGACGACTAGGAAATTAAAATTTGGATTTTATTTTCCTTTTTTCTTGTGAATCTGGATGTCATGAATTGTAATTTTGTTTAAGGTTATGCAAAGTAACCGTTTTCTTGTATGGTTTTGTTACTTGATATGGATTACATTTTTGTTCTGTCAACAGCAAGGTGAGAAAAAAAATAAAAAACACCGAAAATTGATTTGAAAAGCTGTAGTATTAGTATTTGGTTTGGTTTAAATTGATTTTTTTTATTTGGTTTGGATTAAATTTTGATATTAAATATTTAAATTAAATTCAGATCGAATTTTAGATCAAAATATAAAAAATAAAAAATTTAAAACAAAATTAATTTATATATTTTTATTAATTTTTATACCTATTGTAAATTTTTATAAAAAAAATAGTTTTTATATAAATTTATTTAAATATATTAAAAATTATATTAAAATAATATATAAAAAATTAAAAAGCAACGAATAAAATTTGACTGATAAAATTCGATTTAAATCAAATTGATTTAAAAAAAAATTGTTTAAATTTAGATCAAGAATTGAATTTAAATTAAATTTAAAAACTTTATAATATTATAAATTATTTTAAAAAATCTATTTAAATTCAATTCGAATCCTTATTATCTTTAATTAATAGTTGGAGGCAAATAAAAAAGATATTGAAAATAGCTGGATTGAACTTGTAAATTGTATTAATCAGGGGCTTCATTTGGAAAAAAAATATGTTTGAATTTTATCAATAATTTCTTGATGACGTTAATTTCAAATACATAAATTCCAAGGCATTATCTTACCTTAATATATGAGAATTAAACAACCCACATATTATCCTCAACTCAAGGTTAAAAATAAAATAATACCACAAGAGGACAACCGACCAAAGCTTAATGGCCAGACCAACAGCTAAAATCCAGCCATCATCCTCGAAAAATTGTCTATTGACACGTGGCTAATCATAAACCAGGAAACTTTTATATTTTTCTAGGAAAATTCTTTTGTTTTTTGAAACATTTTCTAGGAAAATGCTTAATTACATATATTTAAAAATATAATTAATTTTCAATAAATGAATAAATTAATATTATTGGTTAGAGATAAGCACAGCGATTTTGTTTAGACTGAAAAAAGACGATGGATAAATACCAATGATTGGTGGCGGCTGCGGGGCTAAAATACAACGTGGCAGGACAAGAGTGGTTGAGACAATCAACGGCGGTGGTGGGTGGGACCGAGTTGAAATGGACGGTGGTTGAGAAAGCAACAGTGATTAGTCGGTACACCCTCTAGTCACGCCCTGCCTTCCCCATGTCACCCAGCGCACCATTCCAATTTTCATGTGGTTCTACCTGTCTATTTCCCACCAGATTGAAGACACGTGGCTAATTATGAGCCACCTATCAGTTCTGATTTTCCCACCGCAACCTTGGAACGTGATGGGATTTTGTTTTCTTCCGTATTATTGCAATGAAGGACAATTAATACCCAAGTTAATTAATTATTTCTTTAAGTAACCAATTAATACCCTAATAATTGTGGTTTGGTATAATTTCTTTATTAAGGGGTCATATTGAAAAAAATACATGTAAAAAATCACATGATTTATTAATAAAATCTTAAAATTTTAAATTTTAATAATTAAAGTTCAACGAAAGTTTTGAATTAAAAAAAGCACTTATATGTAATGTGTTTGAAGGATAATTTTTTTTTACTTTTCTTACCAAAAAATTGTTTATAAGTAGAAATAAATTGAAACATGACAGATGACAAATGCTTAAAACATAACAATAGCTTCCACTATGTAAATGCAAATACATTAGGTGTTTCAATGTAATTGATTGTGCGCATTATATAAAAGTTGGTGATAATTCAAACTTCACACCCACTTGATCTAATTAATTAGATATATTTTTTAAAAAATATTAAATGAATAAATTGAATTAAAATTTTATAAATTTAAAAGTACATAATTAATGAACTTAGGTTGTCTGAACTAAATTCAAATATACTACTCTCAAAAAGCCTAAGTGGGCTATCATTAATTTTTAAGAAATACAACTAAGCAGAGCAATCACAGGGAGAAAGAGAATCGAAGTCCATGAGCTAACAGTCGGCCATTGGCCTTGGTGGGGTCTCAGACAGGGAAACTAAACATTCTTTTAGTAATATGGGGCGGCAAAGCCATGTTCAACTGCCCTTCACTCAACTCCAGCCCTCATTTCACCCCATATATACCCCCACTCCACTTCTCGATCTCATCACAAAAAAAAACTTAAAGTCATATCCAAGCTTCTTACTCTTTTTGATTAATTTTTTGTCATTGAATTTTCTAAGCATTAAGAGGCCATGGCTAAGGACATTGAGGTTGGTGGTGAGTTTCAAGCCAAGGACTACCATGATCCTCCACCAGCTCCGTTGGTCGACGCCCAGGAGTTGACACAGTGGTCCTTTTACAGGGCTATAATAGCTGAGTTCATTGCCACGCTCTTGTTTTTGTACATCACTGTGTTGACAGTGATAGGTTACAAGAGCCAGACTGATCCTGCTAAGGGCGGTGATGACTGTGGTGGTGTTGGCATTCTTGGCATTGCATGGGCTTTTGGTGGCATGATCTTTATCCTTGTTTACTGCACTGCTGGTATCTCAGGTTAAGTTTTAACTCTCTACTGATCATGTCTTATAACTTAGATGAAAAAGGGTATTTTGAGGAGAGAAAGCATTGCATGAAACAATTATATGAAGCGAGAAACTGTCTAAAATTACAATAAAAAGATTAAAAACTGGATGATTTAGCAAATGACTAACAGTTTAGATCAAATATGCAGGGGGACACATCAACCCAGCCGTGACCTTTGGGCTTTTCCTGGCTAGGAAGGTGTCCTTGGTCCGAGCAATATTGTACATGGCTGCCCAATGTTTGGGAGCCATCTGTGGATGTGGGCTGGTGAAGGCATTCCAAAAGTCTTACTACAATCAGTATGGAGGAGGAGCCAACAGCCTCTCTAAAGGATACAGCACTGGAACCGGTTTGGCAGCTGAAATTATCGGCACCTTTGTTCTTGTCTACACTGTTTTCTCTGCAACTGATCCCAAGAGGAATGCAAGAGACTCCCATGTCCCTGTATGTCTCCAATTTAACGAACTCCACACTTTTATTTTTTCCTTTTTATCTCTCGATTAGGCTACAAATTTCTTAAAATTTTCAGTTTTGCTTTGATCACAAAATTCATGCACTTTATGATTCTAGACATGAAGTGTACAGATTCTACAGAAATTGTCTTAGTAACTATTTTTTTCTATATTCTAATTTAAGGTCCTGGCACCACTTCCCATTGGATTTGCTGTGTTCATGGTTCACTTGGCCACTATTCCGATCACTGGCACGGGTATCAACCCTGCTCGTAGTTTTGGAGCTGCTGTTATCTACAACCAGAACAAGCCATGGGATGACCATGTATGAACCTTCACTTGTACAATCGAATCTAATTTTCCCTTTGCTTTATGTCACATTTTAAAAATTTTGATGCTTATGCAATATTTGATCTGTTTGAATTCTTGCAGTGGATTTTCTGGGTTGGACCTTTCATTGGTGCTGCCATTGCTGCATTCTATCACCAGTACATCTTGAGGGCAGCTGCTGCTAAAGCTCTTGGATCCTTCAGGAGCAGCTCTGCCATATAAAAAAAAAAGCAATAATTTTCCAGCCACAAGTTAAAAAAAAAATCAGGTTCCATGGAGGAATGAATTAAGTTTTATCTATGTGGTCAAGAGGCTTTTTCAGACCATTGAATTTGTAAACTATAATGGAAGGTGTCATGCTTCTCTGTATCTGGCACTTATTTTTAATGTGCGCAACTTCTCTCTTTTCTTTTTCTTTTTTTTTTTTTAATATCTGAATGTAAAATGACTTCGGTGGCCTAAAAATGTGGTAAAATTTGGCAAATTTATCAGTTTAAATGTCACCTGATCAAAACAGGAAAACAAGGGCTTGGGTGTGGTAACAAATGGATCCGACATTAGTCCTGTCGCTGGTTTCAAGCTGTTAAGTTGGAATCAACTATGGAAAAGAACCTTAAAACTGGGAGTACTTTAAAGCAGTTCAAGTAGATGAATTGAATTGAATTGAAACTGGTTTCATTTTGACAACTCCTGTCTAATGTGAAGAACTCTGGAGATTTGTTCAATTTAAGATGCGGAACAATAGATCATCTGATTGTCTTATTAACTGCTAAAATGAATCAAGATTATCTGTTTCCAGCTACTCATGAGGACTTTCTACTGTACTGTAAGAAATGGAGCATGACAAACAGCTTTGGGTGCCTCCACCAATGATAAATTAAAAGAACAGAAAAGTTCATGTCAATGCCAGATTCAATAGAAAAACCAGCCATTTGCCACCTTCCTCTCCCAATTATTAGCGAAATCAGACCAGGATACAGTAGCATGTCTTGAGATTGCTAAATTATGATGGTTACTTTCATAAAATAATGGCTTCATCTACTTCATATCTTATTCAAATGGCTTCGAAATTAGATTGGAAACATATTTATTTGTTTAGATTTGTAAAGTTTTTTTGCAATTAATCTATTGTGTTCATTTAATTGATTTGAAGTTTATTGTCTATTAGTTGATTGTTACTCTGTTAGAATATTTTGTGTAAAGAAGCAGACATCATTTAATACCAGAAGAGGACAACCGACCAAAGTTCAATACTTTTGCCTATATAAAAAATATTTTGACATGATAATTAATGTTAATAAGCTTTTTTAATTAATTGAATTTTTTTATTTTAAGAAACTAAAAAATTGAATGAAATAATAATGATTGCATAAAAAATAAAATTTTTGTTAAAAAAGAAAAGAAAAGAAAAGAAAATTATTTATTGTATTTACAAGTAAAATTTTTAACAATTTATAAAATTTATCATATCATTAGAATTATTTTTAAAAGAAGGGCCAAATTATTAATTTGGGGGGTAAAATATGATTTTATTTTATTTTATTTTGAATGAAAATATGCTTGTCGAGGAACCAAGGGAGTGCCAAGGCCCCTGCCAGCTCCCTCCTAGATTCGCCTCCGATCGATTTCAATTCCAAATTAATTAGATACCAATTTTTTTAAAATATTACATAAATAAATTATGTTAAATTTTTATAAATTAAAAAAAAAAAATTCGGTTGTCTCAACTAAACTCAAAGCTACAATTCTAAAAAGCCTAAGGGCTATCATTAATTTCTAAGAGATATAACTGTTAGAACAATCATAAGGGATCAGATAATCAAAAGTCCAGCAGCAAACAGCCATCCATTGGTCATGGTGGGGTCCCAGACAGGGCAACTAAACATACTTTTTCTAATATAGGGCGGCAAAGATTTGTTCAATGACCCTTCATCCATCATTTCACCGCGTATATGCCCCCCTACATTTCTCGATACTTCTCATCACAAAAAATTAAAAAGCTTTTTGACATCCAAGCTTCTGTCTCTTGTTGGTTACTTTTTTGTCACTGAATTTTCCAAACTTTAAGAGGCCATGGCTAAGGAAATTGAGGTTGGTGGTGAGTTCCAAGCCAAGGACTACCATGATCCTCCACCAGCTTTGTTGGCCGACGCCCAGGAGTTGACACAGTGGTCCTTTTACAGGGCTATAATAGCTGAGTTCATTGCCACGCTCTTGTTTTTGTACATCACTGTGTTGACAGTGATCGGTTACAACAGCCAGGTTGATCCTGCAAAGGGCGGTGATGACTGTGATGGTGTTGGCATTCTTGGCATTGCTTGGGCTTTTGGTGGCATGATCTTTATCCTTGTTTACTGCACTGCTGGTATCTCAGGTAAGTTTTAACTCTCTACTGATCATGTCTTGTAACTAGGATGAAAAAGGGTAGTTTAAGAAGATGAAGCATTGTATGAAATAATTATGCCACATTAGTTTTTTTTTATTTAAATTATGTCACATAATCATATTATTAGAAAAATTAATAATTTATTATAGTATAATAATTAAATGATAAATATTTATTTTAATAGATCAATTAATTATTATATAATAAATAATTAAATTTTTAATAATATAATATAATTATGTGTCATAATTTTAAGAATAAATAGCATGCATGATCCTTAAATTTTGGAACAAATTTTATATTAATCTTATATTTTAAAAAATTTTAATTGAATTTTTAATTATTTAAACGTATATCATTATAGTTTAAATTGATTAAATTTTAGCGTGACATGACACAAATATAGTGTGGCATAACATATACCTGTGTAAGGTTAATATTCTCTCTTTAATTTTAAGCAAAAGAATTCTTGACAAAAGGAAAAATTAAATAATTGGAGAGACAAACAACAAGCAATTAAAGATAGAAGTAATCAAGCAATCGAGCACACATCAAGCAATACGCAGGGGAAACAATTCGGTAATAGATATTCAAGTAATTCAATAGCAAATTCAATTAGCATCCAAACATAAAATCCATCAAATCCAAACCTAGAAATCCACCATAAATCACCAATAAAAAAATCACTGCTCAATCAATCTATAATCTCCAATTTAGCATAATCGACAACACCATCAAGCAAACCTAAAATAATCTATACTCACAACCTACAACTAACTACACCTAATAATTGATCATAAGCTAAACCAGTTTGTAGAAATCAAGAGTTTTAACCCAAAAAACAGAACCCGTTAAGATTAAACAAAAGCCAAACGCAGAAAAAAAGACATCGCAAAACAAGAGGTTGGCAGTAAAATTTTTCAGAGTCTAGTGGTTTTGTTTGGATTTTCCAAATAGAAAAAAAAAGGACTAAATTTGTTGAGATTTGAGTGGTAGTTAGGTCTCGGTCGATGAAAAGAATAAGAGATTTGAAAGAAAATTTTGGCATAAGTACGGAGACCGACAGTGGTCACTAACAAGATCAACTGTCGGTAACAGAAGCGGTGGATAGTTTAGTGGTGGTAGACGTTAGCTTTTAGGTTAATATTGTTGATATTGATTAGGTTTGAAGAAGAGAGAATTTATAGAGAGATTGAATAGGAAAGGGAAGTTTTGAATGAAAACCAGAAGTTGTTTTACTTTGAAGTTTTTTATTTCATACAAACGGTGTCGTTTAGGGCTGATGAGAAAGGACTGATTTAACCCATGTGGAAGATCCGTCATACATTTGTCATTGATCGTAAAATTATGTGTTATGTCACGTTAAATTTTTTATCAATTTTAGATGATATAATACATAAAGAGATTATATTGATATAATATACGTTTGGAAAATTGATGATTTAATTAAAATTTTTTTAAAATTTAAAAATTAACATGACTCAAAATTTAAAAATCACGGATATTATTTACTATATGCTGACATAAAATAACAATTTTACACTATTCTTTCTCAAAAAGAAAATGATCGATTTTCCAAATTAGTAGTCCAAGAAAATGATCTAATAAAGTAAATCTGGTATGAAAGACGCTTCTTATATTTTTGAGAAGCGAGGAAGTGTCAAAAATTACCGTTTTCAAGATCCTGGCACCACTTCCCATTGGATTTGCCGTTTTCAAGGTTCACTTGGCCACTATTGCGATTACTGGAACCGGTATCAACCCTGCTCGTTGGTGCTGCCATTGCTACGTTCTATCACCAGTATATCCTGAGAGCAGCTGCTGCTAAAGCTCTTGGATCCTTCAGGAGCAGCTCTGCCATATAAAAAAAATTAAACAATAATTTTCCAGCCACAACTTCCAAAATTAAGTTTTATCCATGTGGTCAAGAGGCCTTTACATTTGTGAATTATAATGGAAGGTGTCACAATTCTCTGTATCTGGCACTTATTTTTAAGGTGCTCAATTCCTTTCTCTTTTTTTTTGTTTTTTTGGCTTTATGTTGCTTTTTTAAATGAGATCAATTCAATCTCTATCTTTAAAAAAAAAAGGATGGAAAATGACTTGGGTGGCCTAAAAATGTGGTAAAAATTTGCAAATTTATCAGTATAAATGTCACCTGGTAAAAACAGGAAAACAAGGGCTTGGATGTGGTAATAAATGGATCAGACATTAGTCCTGTCGGTGGCTTCAAGCTGTTAAGTTGGTGGCAACTATGGAAAAGAGCTGTAAAGCCTGGAGTACGTTAAAGCAGTTTAAGTGGATAAATTGTGTAGTATTGAGACTGGTTTCATTCTGACAACTCCTGTCTAACGTGAAGAACTCTGGAGATTTGTTCAATTTAAGATGTGGAACAAAAGATCATCTGATTATCATATCAACTGCTAAAATGAATAAAGATTATCTGTTTCCAGCGTCTTATGAGGACTTTCTACTGTACTGTAAGAAATGGAGCATGAGAAACAGCTTTAGGTGCCTCCACCAATGATAAATTAAAATAGCAGAAAAGTTAATGTCAATGCCAGATTCAACCGAAAAACCAGCCATGGGCCTCCGTCCTCTCCCAATTATTAAGGAAATCAGACCTGGCTACAGTAGCATGTCAAGCTTTCAAATTTTGGCATGTTATAAGTGGAGTTTTCCTCATTCTTTCTCAGGAAATTTCTTACAACAAGAATAGGTATTAATGATGTTAGCCCTCATTTATCGCAACGCATTAAACCCTGATATTGAGGATCGATTAATGGCAATCTTTTAATGATTTCAACCAGATAATCTATTCATTTAATGCAGAAACAATGTCACCAAGGCTTCCTACAACTCCAGTTCTGGACTAATGTTAATATAATGTGGTGTCCTGCAACTTGGAAAATAAAGAGTTTCATTGCATATCTTGAATTTAGAGCTCTCAAAGTCATACAATTTCTCATCGGTTCAATAAAATTTTCCATTTAACTTCCTTCTCTTAGACTCCAACCATGCCAAAACATGCCCCCAAATTATGTCTCTCCTTGTTTATAGTGCTTTCATTGTTAACAAATTATAATTTTTCTGCAAAACCATCTGATCAAATCTTATGCTCCAGTAGCATCAGAATCTGAAATCAAATCTATTTCTCGTGAATCTTTACCTTTTCTTCCCAACCCTGACAGTCCAACTACTGAGGCTGAAGCTGTAGATGAAACTCTCTCTCCAACATAATTTCCTGTTCCTTCTAGTGCTAACATTCCTGATGATGAAACCAAATCCAATGAAACACTTTCTCAAGAGAATATTTCCACTCTTTCCAATGCTGATGAACCAACTGATCTCCAAATTAGCAAAGAAGAAGAAAATCTCTCTCAAGTGAATACATCACTTCCTCTTTCAAAGGCTGATCCTCCAACTGTTGAAACCAAAGAGAGTACTGAAGATCTTTCCCAAGAGAACACATCTCTTCCTCCTTCTCCAAGCATGGATGTTCCTGCTGTTGAAACCAAAGAAGATGAGAATGTTTCTCAAGAGAATTTATCATCTAACCAAAACCAAAGTCAGCGAGATGCTTTCTCAAGAGAATACATCTGTTCCTTCTTCTTCTCCTAATGTGGATGCCCCTGGTGTTGAAGAGAACAAGTCTCCCGCTCTTGCCCCTGCATACATTGACACTTCAGCTCCCGAAACCTCATATGATGGAAGTTTGAGATATAACACGAATAATCTTAATATGAACATAGACCCAAATATTTCAATGATACAAATAATCTGAATGCGAATTCAAATGTTTATTATATGCGTTACAAACGATATGATATGATTAATACATTTAAAATTAATTTGCTACACATTATTCAGGTAACACAATACAGTATGATTAAATACAAATAACACGATTAATCTATTTATTTAAGTAAAAAATATCATTTAAATTAGTGTTTTAAAAAAATTAGTTAAAAATTAAATATTTATAATCTATTTAAACACTGAAATAATATGATAACTATGATTATTAATTTATATAAAAAATAAATTAAAATAATTTTTATAGTTTGTATGTTTTATATGCTTATATAAATAATATTGTGTTTTAAACGTGTCATTATTATTTAACACAAATAACACGAATAATATCGTATTATAATTGTGTCGACATGATTAAAACATGAAATATAATGACACTAAATTCATATATGATTTTTTCGTATTATTTTTTTATCGGTTATCATGTCGTATTTAAAATAATCAAATCTACCTCAAGGGTACTCATCGGCTGCTCCTCCGTACACAGAATGCCAGAATGCTGAAAATGCACCTGAACTTAATTCTACAGCTCACTACCAAAAACTGCAGTTCCTGCACCATCGGAGGCACTCTCATTCCCAGAATCAGACCCAACCATCCAGATGACTCCATCAAACCATGACACTTTTGGTTTAGCTCCAACAAGTCATCACACAATCTTGCCATTCAACTACAGGGGTGAAGATGAGTCTGTTGAACCTTATGAAGATGAGAAAGATTCTTGGAATGGAATCAATGGAGCTGTGGCTGGAGTCCTGGTTGGTGCCTGTTGCATTGGAATGGGAGGTCTTGTCTACCAGAAGAGGAAGAAAGATAATATTAGAGCACAATATCAGTGCTTGGCCTAGAAAGGAGGGGTTTGAATTGAACTTTATATCTATCTCTAAAGCAACTTCCACAATTCCAACTCTCTGAAGCTCTATCATTTCAGATATATGCCTCTTCTATTTCAACTATATATAGAAATAGAACTTAGATAGAATGGAACTTGAATGATCGATCTAAGCAAAATGCAGCTTTTAATCTCGTATGCTGAAGTTGGAAAAGAATGCATCATCACTTGGATACCTTGAAGATTTGAATTAGGAGGGTGGTGATTTACCCTATTATGTATAGTTGATGTTATCGATTTTGGTCATAATTAAGCTGAATAATATGGGATATTTATTATTGAAGAACAAAAGGTAAGAGAAATGGCAAGGCATCAAACTATGTGGATTGCCTCTGTTTTTCCCCCCTCAAAGGAAAATGGAATTTGTTATCGTCTCTATTAAAACAAGGTTTACATT